GAAAGGAGGCGAGGCGCGGAGGCGGCAGCAGCATCGCACCGCCGGTCACCGCTTAACGCCAGAAACACCGGTGCTGTCTCAGGGGAATTTGTTGAGTTTTAAGGCAAAAAGCTTCGCCCTCGGTTTCTGGGTGCTGACGGATGTCGGGAGCGAGCAGGGCGGCGGCAGGTCACCTCCCCCCGGCTGCGCGGGCGGCCCCGGGGCACGCAGCACAATGCTGGGGCTGTTTTTCCACACGCTTTTTTTAATTACTTTGGCTGGATGCCACTAATAAATATTTAACACTGTTGAAGGCAGTGAGAGTAATGATCGAGTCCTGTATTGAAAACTGATCAATAGGATTAAGTCTAAATGCTTAAATAGGCAATCTGTTTGTGAAGGGAGTGACCTCGTAGGTAAAAGGGTACACTCAGCAGCAGACATCACAAAATCAAGTTACTCCTGTCTTTTCCTCCCCTTTCTTCCACGTACAACCTTCTCCCAACAAACTAAACAGACCAACCAGTTCATTGATGTGTTCTGAAATCAGCCTTTCCCTTCCCTAGGGTGCGGACTTACACTTTATCTCCATTTTTCACAAAAGCTGTAGGAACTTAATACAACTCCAGATATCTTACTTTCAAATTAGGCTGAAATAAACATAAAAACATTAAACATAAGAAAGCAAAAAACCCTTTTTTACTGTGAGGGTGGTCAAACACTGGACCAGAGGTTGTAAACTCTCTGTCCTCAGAGTTTTTCAGGACACGGCCCTACGCAGCCTGCTGTAGTTGCTCCGAGCAGGGGGGCGGATGGGACAATCTCCAGTGGTCCCTTCCATCTCAGCTATTCTGTGAGTCTGCAGTTTTGCTGGACTGTAAAAAAACCAAGGCAGTTCACATCAAAGGAAAATTAAAAGGGTCAGGGACCAGGTTCAGAGGTTAGGGCAGGGCTCAGGGTCAGGAGTCACATAAACAAAAGCGTAATGAATCTATGGCCTCGCCTCTTTAGCTTTCATCATTTATTCAGGAATGTAAGTACAATTAAGTGGCTTGGGTTACTTGTCGTAAAAACCCACTCAGGAATGTGAGCAAGAATATGAAGTGTCACATGTCTAACAATACTCTTAAAAAAAAAATAAAATGCATTGACGAATGTCCTATGAATACCCAAGATAAAATACCAACCTCAATGTTTTTTAACTCTCCTATACAGAAACATTAACAGCTTTCCAAAAGTGGACTTGTAACTCCTAGACACCACACAAATACTTGTTAGTGATCCAGGAGCTATGACCAAGATGCCTGTGTCAAACGAGACTGGACTGAGCTCACGTTTACACAACTAATTTAACATTTCCTTGTTTGTCAAGTTCCACAATAGCAAGTTCTTTCAAGATTCCTATTCTTGGGTCAGTGGCTTTCATATTCATCTTGTTCATCTGCAAAACACTCAATGCTGCTCTATAAGACAAAAGCAAACTGTTTAGCAAAACAGGGTATCAAGCATCAGGTCTGGCAGAAAAAGGCTAAAACTTGCGCTCTGTTTATTGAAGGATTTTTGTGAGTAAATCTCACGCTTATTCAGATTGTCATCAACTTTTCTATGGCACTTCAAATCGAGACTAGTCTCTTGCTAATCCAACCTTAGGGTTAAGGAGACAGAATTCTCGAGTTAAAATCTTTCTTATTTTAATATCAGCCTGCCAGAAAGCCGCAGCACGCATCCCAGACGGGGTCAGGGCTCGGGCAGGCAGGAGGGGCTGGCGTGGGGAGGGCAGGGTGCAGGGGTCACAGGTTAGCGTCAGGGCTTTGCTTTTGCAGCCAGGATGTAGATTCCAAAAGCTAAAAGGGTTTGGCAGTATGACTGTGTCAGCAAAACCTTCCTGAACAGACCCACTTTTGGACATTGTACAGTGAAACCAAAGGGAAAAAAAATCTGTTTCTGAAGAACCTGACAAGCAGTTTTGAAAATGATCAAATCACACAAGCCGTTTTCATACAAATTAATTTGGAGGGTTTTGTACGATGGCTCAACTCTTTGGGATGTGCACCTATTTTTACCAGGAGTAGCGTAGGGGAGAAAAATTAAATTATGAAGTTGTAATATAGCAGCAAATGGTTAACCAGCTGGTTTTGTTTAATTTGAAAAGGCTGAATTTCTTTACAGCTTATAAAATTCTTACTAATAAATGGCTTTAAGTCTTACTTGTTCTTATTTACAATGAAGTGGTTAAATAACTCCCGGTACAAATTGTTCAAGTCTGCCAGTTTAACAGTACTTCTGATACTCCTTGGTACAGTCATAAGTATTTCCTCAGTCAATGGTTTGAATTGCGATTCTAAAAAATTGGAAATAGAAGATACTTGTTTCTTCAGAAATTAGGCCAAAGATAGAAAGTACTTTCATTACTTTTCAAGAAACCCCCTAAATGGGTCTAAAGGAAGATTTTCCAGCAAGAGGAAGGAGAGAAGGAAGATATTCCCTCACAGCTATCATTGTATCTGCAGACTCAGGGAAAAATCATTTAATTTGAGATCAGATGTGGATTGACAAATTTGGTTTGACAATGACTAGTTGGTTGGGTTTTTTAAAAAAAAAAAACAACAACCAACCAACCAAACAGGAAAATTCCTTTCTATAAGTAGGGATAAATGGATTAAAAAAAGAGCTATTTCTATGGTAAGACTAGTGCACCATTTCTTCCAGACCATAAACACAAGACCATCCACTTCAATCCCATTAAAAGCAAGAAAAACTCCCAGAGACATGGGAACTGTACGTGGAATATAACTAAGAGCTCAATTGTTTATATTAAAGTCTAAATTCTTCACATAAAAGCTGTAGTTACTAGTGCCTGAAAGCAAAACCAGTAAATTTACTGTGCATCGTAGGCTCTGTGTTTTTTAAATGCCAGAGCTCAGAAACCATACCTGGGCCTCAGCCTGTTCCTACTCACTGTGAGATTTGGCCCTATTGTGCTAGGGAGAAAAACCGGCCTTATTTGTCAGCTGAAATTATTTACAACATCTGCCTCTTCAGAAAGTAGAGCAGCTTAATTCATTACTCTCTGAATTCTAGGTAGTCATTTGGTATGTTTAAATAGCACAGACCTGTGAGAGTCCAGTATTAGAGATGGAGGTCTTGGGAGAGATTGATACTGCTCACAGAGCTCACTTTTGGGGGCTGGGGGTGAGATCAGTCAAGGAAAAAAAACCCAAAACAAAAGTGGGAAGATTATTCCTTCAGCACTTACCTTCAGTTGAGCCAGGGACTGTAGATCTCAAACAAGATGGCTAAAAATAAACACTCGATAATGTCAGGATTTGTTGGAATTTTGTTTAGAAATTATTTTTTACAATTTCATTGCTGCGTTACTAATTACACTTTAGCATTGGATAATCAAGGACCTTGCAGCCACTGAAGTCAACATCAAAATCTTAGGCATTCAATTAACCCTGGTTTCAAATAAAAATAAGTTTAAAATGGATATGGAAGGATTTATATGAGCTTCTTCAGCCTTCTCCTTTGCACTCCGGGATGGACCTGGCTGGAAGCACGGCACACGCAGCGAAGGAGAAAGATGGTTTCCCTATTCTCAAGCAACCTTCAGAGGCTGACAGTTCTGACAGGCTACATCAAACTCTCCTCAGCCAGAAATACAGCCCTGATGAAAAAATCCCAGGGCCTTTATGACATCTGTCCATTCTTTCTGCCTTTCAGAGAACACCTTCAAAGTACACGCGGTGACAACGCAAGGACTGACACCAATTAAACTGGCCTCAGTAGCTGTAGGATACAGCTCCATTTTGCATTGGGTGTGGCTTATGCCAGCTGTATCTTAAGGGCTTTAGAATTAAATAACGGAAAGACAGAAATTGAGAGCATTTATCAAGGTAGGAGAAGGCATTTGCAAACCAAGAGTGAATGAAGCTGCAAGATACTGGATGGCTTTCATGCAAACCAACTGTGGCAATAAAGAGACAGAAGGCAAGGCCTCCTTTGACAGAAGAGTAGTGGGCAGGGAGAAGCCATGTAGAAAAAGATAAAGTCAGTAAGATAATTCCAATTAACCTTCTTTAATATTTTGCTTTTAATATGAGACCTAGACCAAATCTTTGCAGATAATTGCATTAGAAGTTTATGCTTTGAGTAGCTATGGGACAGTATCTGACTTCTTAACAAGTATTAGTATACATCTATGTTCTACTGGATTACAGTTAGAATATACTTATTGTCATACATATTCCAAAATTTCTTTAGTATTTTACAGGAAATCAAATTTCTCCCCATTTTGCTATACATTGATTTGAATCAGTTACATTCTTCACTCCCACCCAAATGTGTTAACAGAACAATCAAATTGACAAGGGCAACCAACTACATCTCTGAAAAGAAACATAAATATACTCCAACTAAAAAATAAGGGGAACAAAGTTTTCCATCAAAGCAAATTTTTCCTTTGTGGACAATTTATTTGGAACAAATAATAAACTTAATCAGTATACAATAAAAATGAAAAAGTTTGTTAGAATCTTCAGTCCCATTTCTGAAAAATTCCGTTCATTTGAGAGGTATTCAGTCACAAAACCAGCCCTTCTGACTTCAGCTGAGCTACTGTGGATTAATGGTTTCTGGAACACTGTCACTCTGTGGCCTGATTACCTCTTCCACTAGCAACTGCATTTCTTTAACAGTTTGGCAGGTTAACCGCTGTGCTGCAGCCTGTTCTTCTGACAGAGGTAAGCACTAGAAAAAAAAATAAAAACAAACAGAGAACTCTGATGCTTTCAGTTCCTCGGGTGATGATATTTACAGAAGAACTCAACGTTTGCGTAGCCCTTTTCTCATGGAAACTAACAGTAGACTCCTACCCCTTCAAATGAAAGCAAATTTACAAGCTAAGTGTTTCTGAAAAATCCAACCATAATACTCCTTTAACATCAACACTACAAGTGATTCAATGGAAAGAAGATAAATTATTCAATAAAAAGAATTATTTCACTTAAAGACTTACATTTCTCCATAACGGTTTAGTCCATCTTTGGTTTAGGAAATATACCAAGTACAAGAAAATCTTTATCTAAAAAGTCTAAATACAACTCAAGCATTTTCCACTTTAACAAAATCCAAATATGAAATTATTCTTGGCAGCATATCCTTGAACACAGGGAGAGAAAAAAATTTATCCTCTCTGTGACACAGAACTACTGTCTTTTAAATCATCATGCAGTACAGTTTATCTATAAAGACTTACCAGTAACTTGTCTGGAGCTGTTGACAGATTGAAGACAATCTCGGGGCACTGTCATTAGAACTTGAAATTGGGAGCTGAGATCTGGGAATATGTTTTAGTCCCACCAGTCCTGTCTTTACCACTAGACTATCAATTAGCTTTTTTGATCTAAATCAACTCATTTGTAAAGGGTGAAAATTAATGCTTTCACAACCTCTTCCGAACTGTAATGAAGCGGTATCTGAAGACCACTTATGAAAATGGGGTGGTGTTGGGTTTTTTTAATAGCTAGATAGGGACTATCACACTATCATACTGAGAAAAACTTCTTTCTTTGCACTAACAGCAATTCCACCACATGTTACAATGGTTGGTTCTAACCCACGCACTTTAGACAGCAAAAATGTTTGCCATTTAAAAGGTGTTCTAACCCACGCACTTTAGACAGCAAAAATATGTTTGCCATTTAAAAGGGTTTTTGCCTTTTAAAATTGGTTTCACTTTCTAACTTCTTTGAGGTGGCTACTTTTAAAGCATGTCAGTACAGAACTGGGATGGAGCTGTGCACAGAGGCACCAATTTCTACAAAACTGTTCCAACGTGTCACACTATTCACACTGTTACAGTATTCCTTCAACTCCAAGACTGAATACCACCAGCTTAACTGCTGAGCGAGGAATCAGGCTTATGACTTACAAAAAGGGCTCCAACCTTGCAAACATTTCTTCAGGTAAATGGTCATCTGCTAAGAGTCTGCACATACAACAGTTTCCAATGCAACTACTCACATCAACGTAAAGGTGACACAAATACATGTTCATTAGCAGGAGTGAGACCCAAGTGATTAAAATGAAAATATTACCTCAAGATCAGTGTGTTGCTGTATTGCCTGAACCATCCTCATTGTGTTCTCCAGAGCAGCATGGATGCCCTTCATGGATTCTCTCTGCTCTATGGAAACTTTTTCCAGCTGCATACATAACGTTTTATAACGAGACTTCAGCATTGAGAGTTCTTCCAAGAGAGCAACTGGATTTTCCTACGTAGAAATTAAAAGTACATTTAAACTATTTAAGAAGATAAAATTAATGTGGCCACATACCAGTTAAAAGTATAGGCACCAGAGACACTAAAATGCAACATGAAATGACCCTTTGCAATGAAAAGTGTAGCTGTGAGCATGTTTCATCTATACATTTCCTTTCTCATAAGCAAAAATGATAGACGGCGTTAATAAAACGTCCTAACTCTGTGGTTCCACAACAAATACAGGAGGATGAATTTATTGTGTTGGTGAATTTTAATGGCTTTTCTGCATTAGGGGCTTCTAACTAAACAGATTATTTTTCCACTGTGGGTTACAATACACATGGAGACAAGGATTTACTTATAAAATCCTTCACATGCTGCCATTTATAGTTTTCCTCTTTCTCTCATTTCTCCCCCAAATCTGAATTTAGTCATTGCTTATTAGCAAGTTTATCTTTGATCTCAGAGCAATGGTGCATTTTAATTTAGGCTGGAATCTGCCTCTTAAATTTAGGTGTTAACACTACCACTACTTATCGCTCAAAGCAAAACACGGGAGAATTTCACTGTACCAAGAAATCAAGGGGAGTTTGTTGGTTTCTGCACTTAATTTGTATTAGGCAAGTTATTGTGATATACAATGCAAGAAATACTTTAAAATAGTAACAATAAAAACCTAACAAGTAGATAAAAGAACAGCCACATATATTTTAGGATTAATGAAAATTACCCATTTATTACCAACTTCATGAAAAATGCAATAAAATCAATTAATTTAATCTGAAAATACTACCTCTACTGCTGGATTATCAGGGAGACTTTTCATTATTTCAAACTCCAGTCTGTGTTGAATATAATCCAGATCAGATTCTGCCTTCTGGAACTAAAATATTTAAGGTCAGCCACAGTATATTAAAAAAGAAAAATTGCAGACAAACCCCAACCATTTGCGTTTCCTGTATTTCAGGAAAGCAGAAGCCAGATGCCTCCGTTTTAAAGGCTCATGTACCCGAAAAGTAAGTTTCTATTCCTCCAATCTATTCCATTGGCTAATGTTTGCCAATTATGCCGACACAATTCTAGCCTGAAAAATACTAAGCAATAAACTTTCAGACTTAACCATTCTCCTCTCACATGTAAGAGTTACGTGTGCACACACACACACATACACGCTCTTCTATTAATCTTCCCCCCTTTCCATTTGTCTCACCAAATTACCCAGTTGTTCTCTTTGCCTCCTGCCTTTAGTAGCTTTTTCATGCAGCTCCCCAAAATGTATGAAAACATTTCCATCTCTTCCTACGTTATGGGCCCTTGCCACGCCAACCCTCCTGAGGTGAGGTTTCCAGCAGTACACCAAAGAGCTGAGTTATAGCAACTGAAAAGAACATGCATCTTTTTTAAACTGATCTTCACTGAGTGCAGGAGGTGTTTGGTATTTTTCTCATGAGATATTAACGGATTTTCCATCAATTTTTTGAGCTTTTTCTTGGCTAGTTGCTTTTCTTTTTCAAACATTAAAAGTTCTGTTAGCAAAACTGCACCACTCGGTTATTTACACAGCAGAGATTATGAATGAGCGTTCAGGATCCAAGCACATCAACGGAGACTTTATTATTAATTACATTAGGAATGCATTCTCTCAGATGGTTATAATACCCATAATACAGTTTATTATTCCCCAATAAACCAGACTGACAAATAAATAACAAAATTGATGACATCACTTTTTTTTTGCTTCAGAAAAATAAGCCACCAGAGAATTATCCAATTGCCTTGTAAAACAGTCTGCTGATAGCATTATTGCTTAATTAATTTTAGTCTCCAATTTTACTACCTATTAAGGACTTCTGCTTTAAAGAAAGGCAGTTTTCCCAGTTCACAAACAACAACCATTTTTTAACATAACAACTTGGTGATTTTACAGTCGCAGAAGAGTCAAAGATGAAAGCAAATTAAAAATGCCTGTCACTTACTTAACTTGGTTGTTGCTGTTTAACCCTGAAGTAACCACTACAGCTTTTTGGGGACGGAACTAAGGCTGTATTTGTTATCTGGATCCCAGAGGCCTAATGGGCCGCGCTAGAACAGCAGATGAAGTGACAAAGTTCTGTCGTCTTTGGACGTGGCCTGTAGTCAGGCCTGGATGCCAAAAGCATGTTTACGTTTCCAACATCAGCCTTGGGATCACCTTCAGGAACTGCCATTAATACCTTTGAGGATCTAGAACTTCAGAGAGCCTAAAGGAACAGTGTTCGGACCAAGATATTCTACAGGTAAAATCCTCTTTCTGGTGTGGTGAAAACGTGTGACATGTCATAAACAAACACAGCTTCAGTAAGCGTTCAAGTAACAGCTTAAGAAAGGGAAAATGAATCCAGTAAAGACCTTGAGCGCGGCTAAATCAAAGGGAAAGCTTTCAGCCGTTACTCCCATAACTTACCATCTGCCCAACAAGACTCCTTCCCACACCTACCCCAGAAACCAGTCATGGTAACATGCAAGAATAAAATATTTTTTATTACATTGTGTATTTTTAAAGCATTCATGAGGGATTCTCTCCTAACTGCTCAATCGTTTCTGTTCTCCTCCACTAGCAAATGCTTTTAGGTCTTCATTTCTAGAGGCAAGCCCCCCCCCAAGATTATTTTTTGCTTTTCTCCAGCTCCTCCATTTGATTAATTTTTGGGAATGCAGACAATGAATATGGCTGCCTTTCAAAATTATCCATGAAGCTCATTCCTGAAATATTCAATATTGATTAATTTGAGATTTACAGAATGACAGCAAGCCACTAATACCATGCTACTACTGTGATTCAAGACATTAAAAATTGAATGTGAAGCTGAATGCTTATCCACCATGTGGCTATAACTTTAAGATTTGTGCTTAATAAAAATACTAACACAGCCCAGTATCACTGCTTTCTCCTAAAAGTATGCTGACTCTAAAAGAAACAAAATTTGCTATCAGCAATTTCAAAGCATGTTCACAAGCATGGCCGTATGTTCCTCCATCATGATCCATTTTTCCTTAATTTTATAAATATTTATTTCTGTATTTCAGGAAACATAACCCTGCAAAAACCTCACCTTGATGTTACAGGATAGGACCATTCGTATGAGTACTGTACAACAACCACACAGAAAATGCATTTTTTCAAATGTAAATTTGTAATTTACTCACAGGCTTAGAAGAAAGCGTTAGAAACTGTGAGGCAAGACTCAAGCCATTGCTGCGTACTCTGCTTTCAGATGCTTTGACAATACTATTGCACTGCTAGCTGTACAGTACAGTAGTGCAATAAAGTCAGAGCATTCGTTAGCAGCAAGAATTCTGTACAAGTAATCAATACGCTCAAAATACGTTTTGGAAAAAACAGGTCGAGTCGGATAGTGGCTTCTGTGGGTCATGGAGAATTGGATAAGGTTAATGTTCACCAAGTCCTAATACAGACACATAAGAACTCACATATTTTAAGATGTTATTATTATTATTCATAATCCCTGCCATTCTACTGACCAAGAGAGGGGGAAAAAAAAGGAGAAAACCATTCAACAAAATGCTCAACAGATCTGTCAGAAATTCAACTTCAAACAATTTGGTGCTGTTTTAACTGGAAACTACATTTCCAAATTTATTTATTTATTAGATTTGCCTCATAGCAAGCAAAGATTCTAAACTGCTATAGGACAGATGTTCTTAAACTGCATTACAGGGAACGTTTTCTGGACACCAGAGTTTATTCTTCTCATTTGCAAGTGCTGAATCACTTTAAAAAACAGTGAAACACACACTCATTTCTCGATATTGTGGCTGTACATTAGCACGGGAGTTACTGCGTGGATGTTAGAGCACCACCAAAGCAGGGGTGTATTTGATAAATCTCATAAAAAGTCTGAGAACTCTGAGAGTTTGAAGGTGCTAAGATTCCTAACAACAAAATGCAAAGAAACGGGGATGGAGTGGAGAGGCGAATGGCTGCTGATGCGCACAGAGCAACAACCTGAGCCAACTCCCACTCATCCCATTTCTCTAGAACTATTTCAGTAGGAAATAAGGTGCTACACAGTGATCTTTCCTCTTCGTAGGGCACTTATTTGTAAGGGAACACACACACAGAGTTGACGGTACTTGTCGTTAAAAGACCAGTTAACATTCCTCCTTGGCAAATCACTAGAAGATGACAAGTGCAGAAAAATAAATCAGTGGCAATGCCATTTTACAGCTGCTGTGCAAGTCACCTGGTCTCAGACATACAACAGGGACTTCACTTGTGACTATAATAATAATAACAATGAGTAACGTAGACAGTATTGCTGGCCAATGCCCTTTTAACATTGCACTGCTTTTGTGCATGATCACTAGTAGTACAACATAAAAAGGGCACTGGACGGCCACCACTCAAAGAAAAACGTAGGTCCCCTACACCAAAAATACAGTGACAGAAATTAACTGATTTGCTCTCAGCTCGTCTGACGGTTTACCCGTTTGTTATCAAATTTCACTAAATGGACGTCCACAAAATTTCCTTCAGTGCAGACTGCTGAAGTGCAGACTGGAAGGCACTAGCTCAAGTATATGAAGTCCTGAGCATTAAATGTTAATGAAATGGTTGTGGAACAGAAGGATACATTTATCACCAGCAACCACCACACACTGTTTTCATCAGAGGCCTGACTGTTGAAGCTGTTGGAAAGATCTCCAGTCCCAGCTGACTTCAATGAACGCTCGTGCAGCACAGTCTCAGGTGCCTAAGTCCTAAAACACAGCACCCAGTACTCCTCTTTAAATTGTTAACAAGTCAGCTTTACAAGCTCTTGCATACATGTGATGGTTCACTCAGCTCTTCTTGTTACCGTACTCTGAGCAATAGTCTCAACCAACCAGCAATTACCTGGTATTTTCATACATGTTGTTGTTTTTAAGCTCCTACAAAATAGCCACTGAATTAAAATACTGTATGTTATTACCACTGTAAGCACTGAGTATGATGACTGCAGTTCGGTAGCTAAAGGAGAGCAAAAATAACCCTACCTCCTCAAAAGCATGGTTTCTTCAAAGAAAAAACAAACCAAAACACACCACCTTGGTTTTAAAGTGCCGTAAAACTGATCAGTTTGAATTCCCTGATCTTTCAACTACTACAGAAATTTGGGCATTTATTCAAATTGTAACTTTTTTTTTTCTTAACAGAAATAATATTATAGCTTAAAACAGCCACTCAGAAGTGTCTTGCTACCACAGTGAGGTGCAGGTCACTTAATGAGGTGACAAAGGCGTGTTAGCAGAACAAGCTCATGTTTAGACAACGTCCAGCCAGTTGCTGCTTTTCAGACAACACACACTTACTTGCCCACTGTTCCTAGTGCTTCAAGGGATGCATTGTGCTGGAGAAAAGTGACTGAAGGAGCACTGAAGTAAAAGTAAACTAAACATGTTTAAACACAGGGCATTAAGCTGCACACCAATTTTGTGTATTAAAGCAAAAGTCATTACATTAAGGGAAATTCATTCAGGTAAGGGATAATGGGCGTATACAATATTCCCCACCATGTTCTCCCAGTGTTCTCCCTATTCTTAATTTCTCTTGAGTGTTCCACTCTGGTGATGCTATCGTGTACAGATAAGAACTGGGAGACTATTAAACTCATTTTTAGTTACTTCTTATTGAGAACTTGAAACCAAGATTGCCAGAAGAGAAAAAAAAAAACCCAATGATATATCTATTGTATTATTTGTCTCTATATTGATTAATGTACTTTTTTTTCTCCATGAGGACATTTGTAGTTTACCACTTAAGGTACCTAACACTGCTGCTATTTAAAATTATGAAAAACTTCTGGAAGTTTCCAAGCAAAACCAAAGGAGCATCATA